GATTAAAAAAGAAAAAAAAAATTTTGTTTTTAGTTTGACAGAAAAAAAAAAAAAAAAAAAAAAAAAAAGTTTCAAGAAAGTCGCTGTTTGAACATGAGATTTTGATGACAAAAACTAGTTTCAAAAATATATATTGTAAAGTGACCAGTGTTTGTATTATTATAATTATAATAATAATTATCATTTCTTTATCTTTTTTAACATAAAATATTTAATGACTTAAGTATTAAGCATTAGGATTTACCAATTTAACAATTTGCATGGCAGAATATTTAAGTACAGAGTTTACTTCGGACATTTCAAACAATAAAAATATCTCAAGATCTAAATGCCAGCCTTATTTTCAAAATTAATTTGATGTCTAATGTGTAAAAAAACAACAACAAACAAACAAAAAAAAAACATATAACAAAAAATAATAGACTAAAACTACGAGTAATATTAATTTCCGGTAGACAGATGCTTAAAATATAATTTTTGAGTCATCAAAACCTAAAAACTAATTGCCCTTTGAAGGTATTGCTTTTATTTGTCTCATAAAAACACCACATTTAACCCCCCAGCTTGTAAAAAGCCAGTGTGCGTCATTTGCGTGCTTTTCCATTGGAAACATCGTGTTACTCCATTTTTGCGCACATTCGTCCGTTCCACGCACCTCCGTCGCGCGTGTCGCGGCAACAGTGAGCGGGTGTGCGCCTTTCCTGTGTGTTGATTGGATCAACCCCTACCCCTCCCCCCCTCACATCGAGTCCAAACGAACCCAAACACTATCTGCAGGATAATCTTCAGTTTTTCTCTCTGGAAGAGCAGCGTTCTTTATTTTTACAGGACTATATTCATTGTACCAAGGACTGAGCGCCTCATTCTCTTGAAAACTGCTCGTGTATGCTTGGAAATAAATCTAAATCCGAATAAATTATGCAAATAGGTTCTTTTTTTATTTAAATAAGGTGTGCTGAAAGCTGTCGCGCTGGATGGAGACAAGTAGCTCCTTTCATTCAAAGTTTTCTTCATTTACAGAGAACAAACTTTAATAACAGCGTTTACTTGGCCTAACTTAAAAGCACGTTTCCTTTTTTTGTCTATATAAAATAAAAGCTGAATTAAATATACTTCTGACATAAATAAAACGAAGCGTAAAAATGCAACTCTACAAATGAATCCCTGTTCATATGCAGAATCTTTTTTCCCCCCATTACCTGTATTGGTCAAACTTTGCATACTTCGTCCATTCGTGAGGCTTGCTCTCGTACGATTCCATGATATTTTGAACCTCCTCCACATTGATTGTGTCACTCTCGAAGATCTTGTGCAGAATTGCGATCAGCTCGTCCAGAGTTTCGGGCTTCACCACCTCGGTTTGCTCCATGTCTGCACAGGAGGGTTTTTAATTTCTTTTTCTCTGCTTGTTTCACGTCGGATGAAAACTTCTGATTTATCTGCTTTGTCGGGAAGTTTTATAGGCTGGCGCAGCAATTTGGGGACGCGCCGGTGATGGACTGTACCACTGTGGAAGAGAAGGTGAACGCCCATAGCTTATTAAATGAAACTCTCCATTAGTGCACGTCAGAGTATTTTGAAAATAACCAGGTGCACCTTTCTTTGAAATCCCTTATCCCAAAAAATAAGCTTTGCTTTTTTTTTTTAAACCAATCTAATACTTTTTCCTCACGTTGCCAGCTTGAGCTAATCCATGAGTCCAATTCCACCACGTTGTCACAAACACACCCTCCACCCCGCTTTTATCTCTCTCTCTTGCTCTCTTGCTCTCAGCCAGGCATTCCTCCAACAATAGGCTTTGCACCCTGTGATTGTGCAGCCTCTCATCACACAGTCAACAAACTCACTGTCCAAGGTGTTTTCAGAGAACAGACTCACAAACAAGAGGGGGAGGAAGAGATAAACGTGGGAAAAAAAGGCTGAGAAGTAACAAACTGGGTTTTACATGATATTCTCTACAGAATGAGGCTTGAGGTTTTTCACCTTCCAGCCACAGATTTGAATTTATGTTATTGTGATTTTATGTGAAACATAGTGGTGGTGGCGTCATGCTGCGGGGACACTTTTTCTGTATAAGGGACAGCTCAGCTAGTTAATTGAAGGGAAATACTGAAGAATTGGAGGTTGCATAAGAGTTTGGACCGGGCGAGGCTCACATACCAAAATAACCCTAAAATGTCCCAAACAGAGGGATTTTGAAAAGGTGACAGCATGTTCTTTTATTATAATGGCACAGTCAAAGTCAAGACTGCTTGTAGTGCGTCAAAATGTAAAAAAAATAAAATAAAATAAAATCTCAGTGGGTGTAAGATATGCTGGAAATTACTAATTATTTTCTCATGATGGGGAAAGAAAAGAAAAATCAAATTATTCAAAAAGCCTCAGTGAATCATTTGGATACATTTGGTTATGGGTTGACTTCTCACACATTTCACAAAAAGCATCAAGTCACAGATATTTTCTGCATCCGTATTCCTCCACAGCTCAACCGTCTCCTTCGTGTTTTAACTTGTCCAGCTGTGTTCACATTGTCCCGCAAGTAGTTTTTTTCCATCATGTCTGGCATGCTGTTGGAGCTGCCTGAGCTTATGCAACTTCATCATAAACTTTCTTTACAGGTGGAATCATCTCTTTCCCTCTCCTGCCAAAAATAAAGAAAAAAACAAGAATAAAACAAAGCGGGTAATTATGGTCGATGTGTGGTGAAGAGAAAGTGTACTCTGTTTGCTTTCTGCATATTGCTGTGCACTCGCTCCCAAGAAATGCAGAATATCACATCAATGCTGATTCGAAAGCAATTTCAGTTTTTAGTCCAAACCCTATTCAAACAGTTCACTCACATATTTTTTTATTTTTAAATAATTCTTGAATGGCAGCGGGTGGATTCAGGTGAGCTGTGATGCTGCAGCAGGAAAACACGCCTATTATTTTCAGTCATCTGACATGTGGCACTGTGTCAGAGGAAAAATCCTCCCTGGCAGAGGATGAAGTCAGGCCTCCATGTTTACAGGCAGCATGAAATGTGGAGAACTTTCTTTGAATGGGGGCTTGAGCCAAGTTTCAGGAACAGCTGCCACATCATCAGTCCCAGATGTTGTGCAGCTCCCCCCACTGGTTGTAGCGCATGAGGGGCCTTAGAGCCTGCAGCGAGAACTACCTGCACCTATAAAGTCATGTCAATGATTTGTAGGTGGCTCAAATGAAATTGTTCAACTGGTTTTGGGTCTACTACAGATAAATCCTCAGTAAGCTTTCAAAGGATCAGGCTCCACTTCAGTAAGAGGTTTTCAACTCTTCACAAAAACAAATTTTTGTTAATTCTTTGAGGTTGTGCTAAAATTTACAGGAAATATCCCCTCTATTTTTTTTTTAATATAGAACAGTTTAAACATTTGAGGCATTTGCGTAAAATCTCCTCTTTTAAAAGTTCTGCAACTATCATCTCACAAATGCTAACAAAGTTAATCCGTTTAGATTTACTTAAAGACAATTTACAGGGCTTACATTCATGCTACAAAAATAAATAATAAATGTTTGAATGGAAGCTCCAAAACAAAAAAACAGCATTCAGTAACAATAGTACCTTCAGTTAAGACAATAGGTAATACCAGTTTCCATTTGTAGCAAACAGGCTTGTGCTGATTATGTGAACTCCCATATTTTCAAAAAAAAAAAAAAAATATCCCAACTGACTTCCTGAAAGAATTTCCATTTTAACTCTTACGGCCATGTGTAAATTCACCTGTGTAAATTCTGGATCGTATCCATATACTGCAGGTCTTTTTGTCTTATATTGCCTTCGTGGAGACACCATGTGTGCATCAACTCAAAATAAGTTTTTCCAATTACCCCTGAGCTCCAGCTGAAGTTGTTAAGCTTTTGCCCTCACCCAGTTTTATTGTTATTTATTTGGAGTTTGCTCAACATTGTGTTGTTATGTGTATTGCATTAATCCAATGGTTCCCAAACTTTTTCTTCTGCGCCCCCCCCAGTGGTTTCCAAACATTTTCTGCGCCCCCCCTATGGATTACAAATGGCTGTCTGGTTGAAACGACGCGTGTGAGGGGGGGCATCGACTTTTTTGGGGGCAAAATGAATGTACGTAGCTGAAAATAGACACCAACATCGGTAGCTTATAAGGTACTTGTTAAGCTTAAGGTTCTGTATTGATATTAGCTAGTCATCTTTTAGCTAACATTAGCTAGTCATCTTTTAGCTAACATTACCTGCATCCAACAGCTTTACTCAACTCAGTCGGTTAGTTTGGAGGGAAAAACTGTGAAAAGTTCTTTGCGTTTTGCTGGTTTGCTGCCGTGATTCTAACACAAACCTACGTAGCTCCGCCCAGCAGCAGCAGGTCTACTTCACAGGTGGAAACCCAGCGCGAGCGTCGTAGTGTTCATGTTGCGTTTAAAGGCGGCTCGGAAAAACAGGTTACAACATGTTAACAACGGACTAAACTGTTTTAACTGCTGATAAAAGTGACAGAGGACACAAATATGGGAAATGTGGAAGCCCCTACTGTATCAAATTGACATAGGAATAACAGAGAGTTGGCCATTCTAAGGTAAAAACCCAGCGCATACAGTGTTCATGTTTTTTTGTTTTTTTTTCATCCAGACGGCTTCCCGCGCCCCCCCTGCAATGACACGGCGCCCCCCCTAGGGGGCGCGCCCCACAGCTTGGGAACCTCTGCATTAATCTAAGTTACATGGTTTTCAGAAAATCTGGAGATTTGTAAAGAAACTACTCATCTCACTTCATAAAGAGTTAAACAAATTACTCTCTAGCTATATGTTGCTATTTTTTCCAAGCACATTCAGAAGGGAAATCTTTTTAATAATAATTTTATATTTATATATATATATATATATATATATATATATATATAAATAAAAAAAAACATTTTAAGAACTCCATACTCTTTCTCCCTTTGCTTTGCTATTTTCTGGTTTCTTCTCTGTCAGTGCACTGATTGCTGATCCTCATCATCTGGAGGGTCCTAAACAGCTCTCCAATCGGCACCCGTCTCCACTGCATGTTTATGTTGACCACAGTAGGCGAGCAATTTGTCCTTAACTAGATGATGCTTCATGGATCCATCTACTCAACTCGAGATGATCCATCTAGTCCTTACGCCTGACTGCCACATGACATATTTTGCACATTTGTTTGAGCTTAGAAAGTAATGAAAATGAGCAATACAAGGAGACAAAAAGTATTAGGCTTAGAAAATTCTTTATGCAGCAGATAAACTGTATTAAAAAGTTAGGGCATTCAGAAACTAAACAAAAATGTGCAACCTTAAATTGATCATATACTAAAAGGCAACGTTTCAGTTAACAGCTCTTTGGGAATTCACCCAACTGGTGTTAAAATAAAATACCATTTCCCCCTAACTGTGTTAACTTTAGTGTTTTACTTAAAATGAATCAACCTGAAATGGAAGCATGGATGCATGGGTTTTAATGTCCTAACTGTATAATAGGCTCTCAATATTTAATCTATACGTTTTAAAATGTTTTCTAAAAGGTCACTTTTGATTTGACCATAAAATAATAATACAAATAATGAAATAAATACTTTTTAAATATATATAAAAAACAAACAAATACACGTATCAGAGTTTATGATTCAGGTTTATATTTTCTTATTGAAAATCAGCTCAACTAATGAGTGTTTACAGTTTGTGTTCCGCTACGCCCCCGTGTGGATAATTCTGGCGTCACGCACCCGACAAGGAAATTGAACTAAAAAAAGAAAACAAGAGTTTTAATCCATCGCGGCTTCCGTAGCAAGAAGAGGCGGATGACTGCTTCTCTTGACGTGGAATATTTCCGTGCAGGGACGATGGAGAAGTAGCAGCACGGTGAAGCTGAAAACCATCAGATCCAGACGGGATTTTAAGCCCTGAAACCCAGTCAGGTCCGGCTTGTTCCGGATCCGACAGAACCCAGTCCAGTAGAGGCTGAAGCCGCCGCGCTCTCCGCCTCCCCCCTTCAGCTACAATCATGATTAAAGCCATTCTAATATTCAACAACCACGGCAAACCGAGGCTTTCTAAATTCTACGAACATTATGTGAGTAAAAACAGGCTCTTTCAGCCACTTTTGGCGTTTATTTCCACTTTCCGCCGCGAGCTAATTATGAAAAAAAGCCAATTAATAATTAAAAACGTGGCACTTTCTAATGAAATCAGTGGTCTGGACACATTTCTGCCACTGCTGAAAGCTTCCTGTCTGATAGGAAGCATGTGTGTTTATTGTTTTTTTTTTAGTTATATAGACGTCTACTCCACGATGCCCTTTAAAGAAAATACTGAATAATTAAAGATGTGCAATCCAAAACGAGGCTCTCTCATTCAGCCTGAGGAGAGAAGGTTGCTCCCAGTTTTCATGTGAACATCCAGCTGTGTGGCTGATGTGAGTTCAGTGTTTGTGTCACATGACTGTAATGACGCCCTTGTGAGTAACTCGTGTTGAACTC